TACCTAAGAGAATAAAAAAGCATAGGTTCATATGAAAACTTGTACAAGAACGTTCAAAGCAGCATTTTACATAACAGCCCCAAAGAGGTAACAACCCATGTGTCTATCCACTGAAGAATAAATACACAAAATGTGAAATATCTGTGCAATGGGATACTATACAGCCATAAAAAGGAATGAAGTACCTCGAAAACAGAGATAAACCGAAAACATTATGCTAAGAGAAAGAAGACAGTCACATCAGACAACATATGGAATTGATTTATACTTTGATTTGTACTTATATTAAAGTACAGAATAGGGAAATCTATAGAGACAGAAAGTAGATTAATGGTTGCAAAGGAATGGGGGGGAAGAGGAGAACTGGGGAACATGAAGTTATCTTGGGGGTTGATGGAAATGTTCTAGAAATGAAGAGTGGCGATCACTGAACAAAACTGAATGTACTGAAGCCACCCAAGAAATAAAAGAAGCCCTTCTTTCCTTTAGGTATGTGCTTGACTTTGGCACCAGCTCTGAGATCTCTCACTCTGCACAGCCTTCCAACTGAAACTTCAGCAACACAAATTCCCTAATTAAGCCTCTTCCACACACCCAGTCTTGCTCATTTCTGTCACTCCAGCTGTGCTTCCTTTTTTACTTCACACACGCCAGGAGCCTCCTGGGGACTCACTGTGGCCCCTCAGACCCTCCCTTGCCCACCCTCTCCACTAAGCTACCTCGCATTTCAGACCCCTGCTCCCCACTTACCTCCTCCTGGAGCCTCTCCGAGAGGAAGCCCACTGACTTCCCATCTACCATATGCACTTGTAACAATACCAGCTGTGCTGGCTTTTATCCTGGGCTTTGCCACTTAAAGCCTGTGTGGCTTTGTGAGAATCACGTCACTTCTCTGGGCATCAGTGTTCCCCATCTGTAAAATGTACATTGCCACGTGCCTAAGTCTGCTCACCTAAACCCGGGTGGTGTAAACAACACAGACTTACCTTCTGTCAGTTCTGGAGGCTGAACTCTGAGGTCAAGATGCTAGCTTGATTGGATTCTGATGAGACCTCTCTCCCTGGCTCACAGATAGCGGTCTCCTCATAAAAATGAAAAGTCCAGGTTAGGCTTCAGGTGCAGCTGGATCTAGGAGCCCAGACAGTATCATCAGGCACATAGCTCTCTTTCCTTTGGTGTGGTCACTGCCTCCCTGGACCAAGTGCTGTGTGCTTACCTCTTCATGGCACCAGGTGCCATTATTTTTGAAAAGTTAGCCTCTGTGGTTTTTTTTTTAAGGAAATTTTGATTTTTAAAAATTGAGGTATAATTTACATATTGCAGAATGCACAAATATTAAGTTTCACCTGTCCTATACCTGTGTTACCAACCCCAAGATCAGAGTCTTCCAGAACTCACTCTCAGTACCCCTTGTGGTCAATGACAGTTGCCCCCCCTCTCCCCCAGGGATAACCACTTCTAAAACTATAGATTAATCCTGGACTTCATATAAGTAGGATATATAATTTTTACTCTTTTGTATTTGGCTTCATTTATTCTGAATAATGATGTTGACTTTTATGTTTTGTGGACAGGAGTATTTCATATACTTTTATGGTTGTGTGGTATCTGTTAGTAGGAACTTAACTAAAATGTGTTTTTGCAAGCTCCTGTTGATATACATTTGGGTGTTTCAGTTCAGTTCAGTCGCTCAGTCGTGTCCAATTCTTTGCAGCCCCATGGACTGCAGCACACCAGGCTTCCCTGTCCAACACCAACTCCTGGAGCTTGCTCAAACTCATGTCCATCGAGTTGGTGATGCCATCCAACCAACTCCTCCTCTGTCATCCACTTCTCCCACTGCCTTCAATCTTTCCCAGCATCAGGGTCTTTTCCAATGAGTCAGGTCTTCGCATCAGGTGGCCAAAGTATTGGAGCTTCAGCTTCAGCATCAGTCCTTGCAATGAATATTCATTTCTTTTAGGATTGACTGGTTGGATCTCCTTGCAGTCCAAGGGACTCTCAAGAGTCTTCTCCAGCACCACAGCTCAAAAGTATCAGTTCTTTGGGGCTCAACTTTCTTTATGATCCAACTCTCACAACCAGGGTTGTGATTAATTCTTGGGTTGTGTAACTTAACTAAAATGTGTTTTTTCAAGCTCTTGTTGATAAACATTTGGGTTGTTTTCAGCTTAGGGCTTCCCTGATAGCTAAGTTTGTAAAGAATCTGCCTGCAAAGCAGGAGACCCCAATGTGATTCCTGGGTCAGGAAGATCCGCTGGAGAAAGGATAGGCTACCCACTCCAGTATTCTTGGGCTTCCCTTGTGGCTCAGCTGGTAAAGAATCTGCCTGCAACATGGGAGACCTGGGTTCAGTCTCTGAGTTGGGAAGATCCCCTGGAGAAGGGAAAGGCTACCCGTTCCTGAGGTGTGATGACACACCTCAGACGCTGCCCATAAGATCCACAGAATGGAAACACCACCCCCAGAGAAATGGGAAAATCTCAACTTGCCTGAGATTAGGGCTTCCCACCCCATATGAGAGATCATAGCCGAGACTGAGCTTATTTAACCAAAATAAAGTTACCTTTCTTGCTCACCTGAGTTTGTGGCCTGAACTTGGACCACTGTTCCACTTCCCATACTATATTATGCTCATCTTTTTATTTTTCCTTTCCTCTCCTTGAGACTGTGAGCAACTGGAGGCCAGGGATATGGTCTGATCCTTCCTGGAATCAGCAACCTCCTGGCCCAGTACCTGGCTCAGAGCAGGGGCTTGGTGAAGATTTGTTAAATGTTGATTGTAAGTTCCCTGACAGCAGGGAGAGAAAGGGGGCTCCGTAGCTGGGCACTCAGTATGGGTGGTGCTCTGTGCTGTGTTATCTACACTGGCTGCCCTTAGCGATCAGACTATGATTATCCCAATTTGCAGATAAGCACATTAACAGCCAGCCTTTACTGAGCACTCACCAGGCACCAGGCACGTTATATTAACTCATGTAATCCTCACTACAACCTGATGCAGCTGACACTACGATTACCCCCCATTTTACAGATGGGGAAACTAGGCATAGAGCAATGAAGTGATTGTGATGGGGTTTGAATCCAGGCTGCATGATTCCAACACCCCTCTGCCCATTCCCTGCCCTATGCCCGTGCTCTTCCTCCTTAATCCCTGCCCATCTCATTGGCAAACTCCCTTCACAACCTCCATGCCTATTCTGACTTCTTTGATGCTCAAAAGTGGAAATACTCTCTCTTTCCTCACTCACTCCTTTGCTCCTGTAACATTTTATTTTTAGGATTTGTATAAATTGAGACTTTCTTAATTATCATGTAAGAAAAATATCCTAAATAATAGTGGCATAAGAAATAAGATGATTATTTCTCTCCTGTGTGAAGTAAGTATAAACATAGAAATACATGACTGATAGAGCAGCTCCATGGTGTTGGTGACTAAGGCTATTTTTATCTGTTCCATCATCCTAGTATGGGGGTCCCTTCACAGGTCAAAAGGATTACTAAAGCTCCAGCCATTGCATCATATTCCGAGCAGCAGATAAAAAGGGAAGATTTGCTGTTCCCTTTAAAAAGACTTCCCAGAAACCCCCACAACGTTTCTTCTTACATCTCATGGACCAAAATTTTGTTACATGACCACAACTCACTGTAAAGGAGGCTGGAAAATACAATCTTTTAGTTGGATGTTGAAAGAATAGCTATTAAGAAGAACACCACAATCTCTGCCATGTCATTATTTAGCATTTATCACATCATATGTGGGATGGTTTATCTGAATAACTGTCTCCACAGCCAGAATTTCTTGAGGGCAGATTCTTGTCATCTTCATCTTCATCTTCCAAAGTCTAGCACACATTGGAGATACTTGGAACAGAGGATTAGGTAGCTAGTTATTACATTTCTTTGGATGCCTTGAGGCCCACTGCAAGCCTCCAATAATTGTTGAGTTGAAATGAATTTAATTCCTCTTGGCCTCCAAGTCCTCATTTTCAAAATGGGTATAAATGACCTCAAAAGTCAATCCCAGTTTGGACACACTCAGTGTCCATTGTATAAAACTGGAAATATTTATGTTAAAAAATGAAAACCAGATGTATAGAACAGACTTGTGGACTCTGGGAGAAGGCAAGAGTGGGATGTTTCAAGAGAACAGCATCGAAACATGTATATTATCTAGGGTGAAACAGATCACCAGCCCAGGTTGGGTGCATGAGACAAGTGCTCGGGCCTGGTGCACTGGGAAGACCCAGAGGGATCGGGTGGAGAGGGAGGTGGGAGGGGGGACCGGGATGGGGAATACATGTAAATCCATGGCTAATTCATTTCAATGTATGACAAAAACCACTGCAATGATGTAAAGTAATTAGCCTCCAACTAATAAAAATAAATGGGAAAAAAAAAGAATAGCAAAAGACAACAAGGATCCCTATAAACATCAGAGCTGTATTGCCACAACTAGCTTTAGATTTTTACGTCAAATAAAAGAAACTAAATTGTAATCCTGAAAAAAAAAAAAATGAAAACCTCAGTAATTAGGCAGTATGTATAGCTTTTGCTCTTTTTCTTTCTTCTTCATGCACACACACACACACATATATATATATGCTTTGCATATAAATAGAACTCACTTTACATACAATTCTATAACTACTTGTTTTACTTACTAACATATGGGAGGGACTTCTGCTTCTGCCTGTGACTAACTTGTAGAGAGAGATCAACCCTCTCAATAAACAGCTAGAAGACCTAGATAAAATGGTTGAAAAGAAAATTAAAATATGTTGCTGATGCTGCTGCTGCTAAGTCACTTCAGTCGTGTCCGACTCTGTGTGAGCCCATAGACTGCAGCCCAGCAGGCTCCCCCGTCCCTGGGATTCTCCAGGCAAGAACACTGGAGTGGGTTGCCATTTCCTTCTCCAATGCATGAAAGTGAAAAGGGAAAGTGAAGTCGCTCAGTTGTGTCCGACTCTCAGTGACCCCATGGACTGCAGCCCACCAGGCTCCTCCATCCATGGGATTCTCCAGGCAAGAGTACTGGAGTGGGGTGCCACTGCCTTCTCCATAAAGTCTGTTAGAAGGCTTCAAAGAGCTATCCAGGAAGCCAGGAGTTGAGTGCTGGAAATCCCAGAATATGAGAGCCTGAAGTCAATGTGCTTCCCCATGAATCTGCCAATTTCAAAGTAGCTGGATAAAGAGACTGAGCAGAAGGTGAGTGCTGAGACCCAGGCCAGGCCGAGTTTTCTACAGTCTTACTGTCTGGAGAGACGAAAATAATCTATGAACGTTCAGTGGAGCGCACAGACTCATCCACGGTAGAATTCACAGGTTGGAAAGAACTCCGGAGATGACGTGACCAAGCACTTCGTTTTATGGATGTAGCAGCCGAGGCCCAGAGATGCTGCGTGAGTCGCCCAGGGTCACACAGCAAATGGGCGGAGCCTGCTGGTGCGACCTTCTTGCAGGTACAGCTCTGTAGCTGATGCTGCTCTCCCAACCGTCCGCTCCCCATTTGTCCCCACATGCCATAGCCTGAGAGCGAGACAGAGAGAGAAAGACCAGTTTAACCTCATTTCATTGGCGAGTTTTAATAAGTAAAAGTGCTTTTTAAAAAGGAAACCGGCAAACATCTCTTTGTAAAAACTACTGGGCATTTTTCCTACTTAACAAAGTAATGCAAATTTATTAATAAAATGTTAGAAAGATATACAGGTATGTGAAAACCAACAGCACCCACAAGTTTTTCTCTCCTTCCTGCCTATCCCTTACAACCACTGTAAGCTTTTTAATACATAAACTGGTGTATTTCTTCACAAAATGAGTTTATAACTTGGTATCTTTTAAGGTTCTACTATTTTTTTAATAAATTTATTTACTTTTTAACTGAAGGATAATTGCTTTACAGAATTTTGTTGTTTTCTGTCAAACCGCATTTTAACATTCATATTATAATCAGTTTTCACATAATTCTATATGCTGCAGTACGATCTTATCTGTGTAATAGTTTACTCTATCGATATGAGGGTGTGCGTGGTAAGTCTCTTCAGTCATGTCTGACCCTCTGTGACCCCATGGACTGTACCCCGCCAGGCTCCTCTGTCCATGGGATCCTCCGGGCAAGAATACTGGAGTGGGTTGCCATTCCCTTCTCCAGGGGATCTTTCCGATCCAAGAATTGAACCTGGGTCTCTTATGTCTCCTGCTTTGGCAGCTGGGCTTTTTTTTTTTTTTTTAACCACTAGTGCCACCTGGGAACCATAATTAAATTAACCAATCCCCTGTGGTTGGCCATTTGGATTAATTTCAGTCTTTTACTACTACGTACAGTCCTGCAATGAACTGCTTTATGCATATCTTGGTGATATCCATGGTTATTTTCTCAGGAAAACTTTGCAGGGTATGGAATAATAGTCTGAACATTTTTAAAAATATCACCATCTGGCTCCAAATTACCCTCTGGGAAGGCCGTAGCAATGTTCACTCCCCGCAGCAGTGCGTATAGCAGACCAATGTGCTTTACTTGACAGGGGATGGAGGGAGCAATCTGGTCATTCTAGCCAGATGTGTGCGAGTCTGGCCCAGCTTCCTTTAAATAGATCGCTTCACAGCATGCCAGCCTAACTATATTTAGAGTGGAGAAGTCAGACGACCTGCCCAATGTTGGAAACCCTCGAGCCGAGTCAAGGGCCAAATTGAAAGGGTCAATATTGACAGCTCTAAATCACATGCTGGCTACTTGGTCCACTTTGGTCCTGAAGGAGGCACATCCCCTCTCACAAACAGAGCCAGAAATTAAACAAGGGAAGGGCCACGTTGCCTATTTGGGGCAGCTGTAGGAAATATGATTGCTTGGATCTCTCAGCCTCCAGAGCGCAGAGTCCCCAGAGGAGGTGGCCGAATTCATCATGTGATGGGCAGGGGGCTGGACCGGCACTCTGCCAGGTCCACCAGCCCACAGCTTGGTGCACCGTCTGGGATACCAACATGAGTGGCATCATGTCCGCCGGGTCTTCAGAGTGTTGCATCTTTCCCACCTCCCCTCTGCACATGCAAGAGAACCCCGGTGGCTCAGAGGGGATCTCAGAGTTCTCAGCTAAGACTTTCACCGAGATTTGTTTCAGGTCAAAAGACACAGATTGGATGACTGCTTGGCTGGTTGTTGGGTTACCCTGGGAAAGTCCCTTCTCGTCTCTGCAGCTTCTTAGCCTCCGCGTGTGAACCAGGAAGCTGGTGGCCTGGGTTTGGTGGGATGCGTATCCTGTTTCCCAGAGGAGAAGGAGGAGGGAGGGACTCAGTTCCTGCGTACCCACCAGAGCCATACACTTTGCAGACACACGCGTATTTGACATCCAAGGGCTCTGTGAGGAAGCAGACCTCTGTGCCTGTCCAGCACTGATACCCCTTATTCTGCTAGTAGCACCCTGATTTTCTTTTCTTTTTGAATATTATTTTTGGCTGTGATTGGTCTTCGCTGCTGCGGGCAGGCTTTCTCTAGCTGCAGTGAGCAGGGGCTATTCTTTGTTGTGGGGCAAGGGCTGCTCACTGGGCTGGTTTCCCTTGCTGCGGAGCATGACCTCTAAGCACGTGGGCTTGAGTAGCTGTGGTGCACGGGCTTAGCTGCCGCATGGCCTGTGGAATCTTCCCAGACCAGGGATCAAACCTGTGTCCCCTGCATTGGCAGATAGATTCTTAGCCACTGGGCCACCAGGGAAGCCCCACCCTGATTTTCTTTTATAGAACCATCTCTCACCCACTTCTAGTTCTGGTGACTTGGGGAGGACAGACCGGCCCCCCCCACCCCCACCCCCTGGCTATAGGCATGTGACTCAGGTTTGGCCAATCAGAGCAACTATGATGGTTTCAGGGCTGGGCATGTGACTCAAGCCAGGCCAATGGGAGTCAGATCTAGGATGTTTGCTGGAGGTTTGGAGAAGGAAGTGATCTCTTGGCTTGAGGCTGCTTAATGGGCCATTTCTGCCTCCCTATGGAGAGACTTGGGCTTCCCAGGTGGCTCATGGTAAAGAATCCACCTGCTAAGCAGGAGATGTGGGTTTGATCCCTGGGTCAGGAAGATTCCCTGGAGAAGGAAATGGCAACCCACTCCAGTATTCTTGCCTGGAGAATTCTATGGACAGAGGAGCCTGGCGGGCTACAGTCCATGAGGTCAGGAAGAGTTGGACACGGCTGAGCAACTAAACAGCAGCAGCATAAAGAGATCTAGCCTGCTAATAAAACTGATGCAAAAATAAAAAACAGTCAAGGGACTTCCCTGGTGGTCCATTGGCTGGGACTCCACCCTGGGGTTCGATCCCTGATTAGGGAACTCGATCCCACATGTTGCAACTAAGAGTTCACCTGTTGCAACTAAAAAATCCCACATCCCTCAACTAAGGCCTGGAGCAGCCAAATAAATAAATATTTTTAAAAAGAAGAAGAAAACAGTCAAGAGATAGAGACAGATTTATGACAACTTCCCTTGAGCTTCTGGCATGGACTATGTCTGAATCCAGAATGACTTCCTACATTTTTCAGCTTAAAGCCCCTTTGGGCTAAAGCTGATACAATTGGGTTTAATGTATCCTGCTACCAAAAGATCATCACTAAAATCCTAGACGTAGCATAGGCCTTATTATTCTCATTTTACAGGTGAGGAAACAGGCTCAGAGAAGCAAAGTAAGCAGAGAACTAACAAGTGGCAGAACAGATATTTTTAGTCAACTTCTTTTTAAAAATTATAGTTAACTTACAGACTTCCCTCCATCCCTGGGTCAGGAAGATCCCCTAGAGAAGGGAATGGCAACCCACTCCAGTATTCTTGCCTGGAGAATTCCATGGACAGAGGAACCTGGTGGGCTCCAGTCCATGGGGTTGCAAAGAGTTGGACACTAACTCTTTAGTTAATTAGTGAGCGACTCACACACACACACACACATAGTTAACTTACAATGTTCTGTTAGTTTGAAGTATACAGCAAAGATTCAGTTACACATATTTTCTTTTTCAGATTCTTTTCCATATAAGTTGTTACAAGATAGTAGATATAGTTCCCTGTGCCATACTATAGGTCTGGGTTTTTTACCTATTTTACATGTAGTAGTATATATATGTTAAATCCCAAACTTGTAATTTATCTCTGTTTCTTTTTAATCCATACCTCTAGTCTCTACTCAGGGTCTCAAGTGATTCCTCCTTTTTAGTTTTCTTTCACAAACCACTGAAGTAAAAGAGGCTTCTGGATCTAGGTTGATCCAGATTCCAGACCTGCTTCAGCTGCTTTCTACCTGTCTGATCTTGAGGTGACTCATGGGCTGTATTTACTAAACACATCTCCTCATCTCTTTGTTCCTCACTTTTCTCATCTGCAGAATGGGATGATAATAGTATCTACCTCATCGGATTGTTGTGAATAGATAAAATAGATTATGTAACACTTTTGGACTAGCCTGGCAAACAGTAAGTATGACCCTAGGGCTAGCTATTATTTTTCTTCTGCTGCCTATATATTCTTAGTAAGTTGGCTACTCCCTCTCCACCCCACACACCCAGGATATGGCCCGAGTTATCTCATGATACATCAGTTTCAAATGCCATAAGAAAACAAAACACACCCTGGTCATGAGGGACTTCAATTAATGTCTGATGTGCTGTTTTTCAAATATTGATGTTTCTCAAAATGCTGATCACTGTAGGCTTTAGTAGGTCTAAAACCAGCCCAGGAAGTGAAACTTTGCAGAGGAATTCCAAATAATCAAGCCTTCGCTGAATTGCAGAAAGGCAAGAGGGGATGGATATGGACCCAGCCATTTCCGAGGTCCCCCCCCCCATTCCTATCAGCCCTACAGCTGTGGAGAGCAGAACTGCATTTCCTCTGGAGTTTATAACAGTTGCTACCTCAAGTGCTCTCTCAGTTCCAAAGGGTGCAGAGACTGGTAAAGTGTAAAATATGGAGGCCCTGGAGAATCACCAGGGAATGGAGGGGCTTTCTGTGGCCTCAGGGTGAGTCCTGGGGGTGGGGCTACACTAAAGGCACAGGGGGCCGCTCAGAGGAACACGTGGGAAATCCACTGCTTCTCGGTTTCGTAAAAGTCAGAGTAACATGGTCTGCCAGTACCCAGAATCCAAAGTCTCCTCTTTCCCCTCAAATCCCCACCATGTAGACAGGCTCAGTGATCTCTGAACTACCATTTATGGAGCACTAGCTCACTCCTTTACATAAATGATCTCATGGAACTTTCCAGCAGCCCTATTGAGACGAAAATTACAGTACAATAATTATGACTTTGGATCTTGGAGCCAGGCTGCATAGGTTAGGCTCCTAGTTCTTCTGTGTGACCTTGAGTAATTTACTTAGCTTCTCTGTACCCTAGTTCTCTTCTCTGCAAAAGAGTGATAATAGTTCCTACTTATTCAGGGCCGTTATGAGGACTGAATGAGTAAGTACTAAGCATTTAGAAAGGTGCATGGCACAATGACAGCTGTTTTTATTAACCCTCACTTTACAGATGTGGACCCTGAGATGGGAAAGCCAGATCACCCACGTACCATACACAGCTCATGAAGCTGGGCCTCAAACTCACTCTGCACCATTTCACTTCCTCTGAGTGGAATTTCCCTGCATTCAGTGGAGGCTAAGATATCCCCATTAAACAGCCCCAGTCACACCTCCTACTTCTTTTCTTTTCTTTTTTCTTTTTTTTTTTTTTTTTTTGCCCTGCAGCGGGGTATGCGCGGATCTTAGTTCCCAGGACCTGGGATCAAACTCTTGCTCTCTTGCAGTGAAGGCGTCGGTCCCAACCACTGGGCCACCAAGGAAGTCCCTCCCTCCTTCCAAACAACCATCTCCCCTGCTAAGTTTGGGTGACTCTTTTGGAGTGTTGAGAGAAGATACAAGTTGCGTGGTTCCAGTGGAGTTTTCCTGGCACTGAGGAAAGGGAGAAAATTCTGCTTCTTCGGTCCCCCGGATGAAGGTAGCGGGTAAGAATTCTCAGGCTCCCGGCGTCAAGGGCAGAGGAGACCCGCAGAGGAATCACCCCCACCCTCCACCTCCATCCTTAGGATGCTAATAGGAACTCACTGAATTTTGAAACTTGAGTTCATCTAAGCGGCTGGAGAGAAAGAGCTGGCGGGCGTGGACAGGTGGAGTTCTAGACCTGGGGGTGGGGGGCGTCTCTCTAGATCCCCGTGGAGCCTCTGGAGGTGGGGTGTTATCTGTCGGTCTTCGTCCACGGCGGCGCCCCTTCGTCTCTTCCTCGATCGGCCTCTCCTGCAGGGCCGAGAGGGACCGAAGTGTCACTGGAGGACGGTGTCAGTCGGGCCGTGTTTCACTTGGCCGAGCGGCATCGCAGCGCCGACTCTGGCTCCGGGCCTCCTCGGGCTGACTTACCTCTGTGCGTGCGCCGTCAGGTGTGCGCGGGGCGGAGGGAGTTCTCGCCAAGCTTCTGAGCCTCCTTTCCCCGCTCGCTCACCACCCGAGGAGCCTCGCCCCCGAGCCGGGCCCGAAGCAGGGGCGCTGCGGGGGCGCCGCTCGGTCCCCGGGGCGGGTGTGGAGGGAGGGAGGGCGAGCCCCTCACGCCGCCTCCAGGCGCGGGGGCGGCCGCGGCGCGCGGAGCTGGAGCCGGAGGCGGAGAGCGGCAGGCGAGCCGGTGAGTCGGAGCGGAGAGCGGGCAGGGCGCGGGCAAGGGGCCGGAGCGCGGCGGCGGCGGCGGCGGCGGGGCTGAACGCTGCGCGGCCGGCCGGGCTTGGGTCCGGGCATCCTGGCGGAGCCACGGAGCTCCCGGAGCCGCCGGCGTGGGGTGGGCGCGCTTGGGGGCCCTGAAGGGTGTGGGCGGCGCGGGTAGGGGTCCGAGGCACCCTGATCACCCAGCTCTGGTTCTCCCCCACCCCGACGCGCAGACACCTGTGGCTCTGCCGGGGTTCGCCAGGGTGCGCGCCTGGGGCGGCTGCCTCGGGCTCCTACCGGAGAGACAGGAGAGGGCGAATGCCCAGTTTTCCCAGCCCTGCCCCAGGCTCTGACTTCGATGCTCCCCGTAGTTGCAGCCCGTCTCTTGAGTGCGCTGAGTGCGCCAGGCACGGGGTTATCCCTCATCTCTTTGGGTTCTCCCTGTAACTCGATGATCCGGTATTATGATACCCATTTTACAGAGGGGGAAAGAGGCTCAGAAGGGGCAAGTTGCACCCAGGAGCACCAGCCAGTCAAGGAGAGAGCCAGGAGGTTGTGCCCCAGTCCGCCGGACCCAAACCACTTCACCACATGATGCGGCTGAGCCCCAGGTTCAGCATCACCAGGAGTGGGGTGGGGAGCATGGAGACCACCTTAGCCTTTCCTATGCCCTGCTGCAAACCCAGGAGGCCGCGCCCACCTCCTCACTGTGGCTCAGGGAGGACCCTTTGGAAAGCTGGGAGCCCCTTACATATCAGCAAGTGGATTCCGGTGGCAGAAGCCCCGTGGGGGCTGCCGTTTCAGGTGAGAGGAGCCCAATTACGGAAGTTAGTCTTGATTTTTCTGGAAGGAGCCGAGGGAGTCAGGAGCTGGGGCTGGAGCACGGCAGATACCCACCGCCACCCCCTAAGGAGTAAGTAGGTGTAGTGGCTTTGTGACCCCGTGGACTGTAGCCCGCCAGGCTCCTCTGTCTATGCGATTCTGCAGGCAAGAATACTGGAGTGGGTAGCCTATTTCTTCTCCAGGGGATCTCCCCAACCCAGGGAGCGAACCTGGGTCTCCTGCGTTACAGGTGGATTCTTTACCGTCTGCGCCACCCCTCTGCTGCCCAGGGAGACCCCACCCCATCCCGTAATCTCTGAGGTATGGGCTCTGCCTGGGAGATGCTCCATGCAGGGCTCCGGTCCTCCAGCAGGGGGCTCCCACCTCGGGCCTGGAGCCCCACAGTGGTGCTAGGAGTAAGTACTCTGTGAACAAGCTCCTCGGGGGCAAGGTGCTTGCGGAGCTGATTCCATGGCGGGGGCTAGTGTCCTGTGACTGGCGCCAAGATGGAGCGTGTTTCCAGAGCATGAATGAGAGGCTAGCTGGGGGTCTGGTAGGCAGGTCTTGACTGCCTCAATCTTGGCTTTAATTTTGGAGGCAGACAGGAACCAGCAGAGAATGGGAGAGAGAATGGACAGGTCAGAGTGTCATTATGCATTATCCCACTCCGTTTTCACAGCAGCTTTGCAAAGCAGGCACTGTTGTTATTATTACCTTCATTGAACAGATAGTTGGTTGAGGCTCAGAGAGGTTAAATAGCTTGCCTGCGGTTGCCCAGCTGGTCTGTGGCAGGTTTGGGATTTGAATACAGATTTTCCCTGGCTCCTTCTAGATTGTCAGTGACATCTAGGCTGTAGATGGGACCTTAGGTCCCTCCTAAGTGTGCCTGCTAGCAGCGAAGATGAAAATAGAGAGATGCCAAGTAACAGGGTCCCAATACCCCTGTGTTGATAGCTCAGTTGTGTCTGACTCCTTGTGACCCCACGGATTATAGTCTACCAGGCTCGTCCATGGAATTCTCTAGGCAAGAATACTGGAGTGGGTTGCCATTCTCTTCTCCAGGAGATCTTCCTGACCCCAGGGATTGAACACTGGTCTTCCGCATTGCAGGCAGATCCTTCACCATCTGAGCCCCCAGGGGAGTCCAAAGGAAGGAAATTTGAACACATGCCGTAACGCAAATGAACCTCGAGGCCTGCATGCTCAGTTGCATCCTACTCTTTGTGACCCCATGGACTGTAGCCTGCCAGGCTGCTCTGTCCGTGGAAGTTTCCAGGCAGGAATACTGGAGCAGGTTCCCAGTTCCAACTCCAAGGGATCTTCCTGACTCAGGGATTGAACCCGAGTCTCTTGAGTCTCCTTCATTGGCAGGCAGGGTCTTTACGGCCGAGCTACCTCTCTCTGTGACAGGTGTCATGCAGGAGGCCTGCCGCTGAGCGGGTTACGACCCAGGGCTTGGTGGGCCCCCCACGGAAGCCTGAGGCTGCCCTGCTGTCTCCGGAGGGGTTTCCCCTGCTGGAGGGCAGGTCTGTCAGGAGGCCTAGTACCACTTTTCAAGCATAGACAGAATCCCTCTGGGTGGAGTGTGGAGGTGGCCCAGCACTGCCCAAACATGATTTCAGAGCTGGGTGGAGGCCGGTGCAGCCTGCAAGCCCCTGCACCCCAGGGGAGTTAGGGCGGTGCTGGGCTGGGAGTGGTCCCTCCTGGCTGAGTGTCCGAGGTAGGAAGAACTTGCATCAGAGCCTCCGCCCCTCAGACTCTCTCAAGATTCCCTGTTCCTGTTTGCACTTTCCTTTTTTTTTTATATATATATAATCAAGGAGTGCCTGGTGGAAAGGTGTGGCCTTTCGGTAACAAAGAGGAAGCTTGGTGCAGATTCTGGTGCTGGCTCTCATCCCATCCCTGCCACTTAAGAGATCTGTGGCCTTGGACGCATTCCATTTTTAGGACAGGAGTATTTCTAGCACATTCCTCACTGGGTTGGTGACAGAACTGGGTGTGTTCATGCGCCTAAAGCGCCTAGATGGAGTCAGGCAATCCACAGAAGTGCTGTTGAGATATTAGTTGGCACTATTGTTACTATTAAGCTCAAAACAGACTCAGCTTGGTAGCCTGGCTCCACCAGACCTCCATGAGACTCTCTTTCTAGTTTGTAAAGTGGGAGTGGTCTAATGCAGGGTAGAAGTTTTAGTGCAGGCTCAAGCTTTAAATAGCTGAAAGCCTCAAGTCCCAGTGCAGGCTTATTTTAAAAACTTCCAGTTCTTTACGAGGTACTCAACAAGTGCTAGGCATTACCACATTTAGCTCTGTCATGGCGAACCGCGCTCCTTCACACCGTAGCCTGAACTTGATCCTCTGGCGTGTTTCTTAGGGGCATGGGTTTGGGACAGTTTTCTGGCTTGTGTGGGCACGAGAAGGACTCTTCTTTCTGTCCAGGTTCTCTCTTTATGGTCATTTCTCAGGGACAAGTGTGCATGTCTTGGTGGCCGTGGCGTGGCAGAGTGTAGGTTTGAAGGTCACTTCATAAGGTCTGCCCTGTCCTCACCAAGGCAAAGATGTCAGCAGAACACACCACCCCTGCTGCCTTTCATACTGATATTTTATGTACCTTCCATGCGGAGAAGACTTGTCCAAAGTTCTGATTTTCTTTTTCTTCTTCAAGACTCTTTGCAACCACCCAAACTGTAGCCCACCAGGCTCCTCTGTCCATGGGCTTTCCCAGGCAAGAATACTGGAGTGGGTTGCCATTTCCTCCTCCAGGGCATCTTCCCGATCCAGGGATCGAAGCCCGGGTCTCCTGCATCTTCTGCATTGGCAGATGAATTCTTTACCACTGAGCCACCTAGGAAGCCCATTAAAGACAAAATGGTGTAGTTTAAAAAAAAAGTTCAGGATTAGAAGCCCTGGCTCTTTGAGCTGAATAACCTTGAGCATCAGTTTCCTCATCTTCAAAATGGCCATTAATGATATTTTCTGGTGTATTTCTCAGGGTTAATGCCAGGGTGGGAAAAGAAGAGGAAAGACGGGGAAAAGCAGACAGTATAAATGGCAAAGACTTACAAGCAATTGTAAGTAATTCTCATTAGCATTCAGGCTGGGCATTAGCTGTAATTGCTCCTGACCCAAGACGTTTTATCTGAAAGACGTACCTGGCAGAGGATCACTGAAGCCCAGTCACCTGCTGCCCTCCCTTTCACAGTGACGCCGAGCATTTCTGAATGTCGGGATGTCATTATAATAAAGCTCCCGAGTCTTATTTATAAGTGACTCACTTCTGCCGTTAATGGTGGCAGAGGACTCAGGCGCACACTCGTAGGGAACAATGCCGCTGATGCTGGGAGGAGGGGTTACGGATGCTCTCCTCTTTCATGCATTCATCTTCCTGGCTGTAATTCTCCAGTGATAATGCACAAGGATCACATGGGCCAGGGTGGAAGCTGACAGCTCTCAATTTGTGCTGCAGCTTGGATGGCAAGATCCATTGAAACTTGTCGCTGCCGGTGGAGTGGATGTTAGAAACCGTTACATCACAGCAGAGAGGATTGAGCAGAGGAAGTTGAGGAAGACACCTCAGGGAATGTTTCAAAGCATGGATGCTCGTGTCCAACAGACCTGAGTTTGATCTTGGTCCTGTCATCTTGTTAGTTGGGGTATGATTTTTATCTATCTTCCCACTTCGACTGTCAGTTCTAAAAGAGCAAGGATCATGTCCATCTTATTCACCAGGGTATTCACAGCTCCTGGTACTTAGAAGGGGCTCATGGATATCTGAGAGTGAGTGTGTGAGTGACAAGTTGCTTGTGTGAGTTTCAGCTTTCTGTAGAATGGGGCTAACACAGCACCTGCCTTATGGGTTGCTGGGGCACTGAATGAGGAAATGTGTATAGAATAAGTGCCCAGCGATGCCTTGAATGACAAGGTGATGAGAAGCAAAGACACAGCCAGCCTAATACGGTAGGAAGAGCTTCTCCCCCACCCTCAGACCATCAAGGGGTGATGATGCTGGCCATAAGAATCCCTGTATTTATGCAACACTTTGCAAAGTGCTTTCTTTTCTTCTTTACTAAATATGGTTGATTTAGTGTTTCAATTGTACAGCAAAGTGATATATATGTGTGTGTGTGTGTGTGTATATATATAACTGAATATACATATATATGTGTGTGTAATGTTGTTACAAGTACTGAATGTAGTTCCCTGTGCAGTAGGTCCTTGTTGATCTATGTTATATGTAGCAGTGTGTATCTGTTGTTAATCTCAAATTCCCAGTTTATCCCTCCCCTCTCCTAAAGTGATCTGTAACCATTGACTCCTTACAACTAGTCAGACTGGCTTCCCGTGTTTTACACGTGAGGAAGCTGAGGTTCAGAGGGCTTGGCGGAACACCCAGAGTCACACCGTTTAGAAGCAGCAGGAGGTAGAATATAAGCTCAGGTTACTCTCATCTGCCAGGTGTTCCTGCTGAGTTCTCTATTGCCCGTTGTGGGTAGAGGGTGCAATATTTAGACTTCCATGGACATGGTATCTCTCTTCATGATTTAGGATACAGTTTAGTTCCAGTTTCCTAATTTTCCCTGGTAGCCTTGCTCATTTTTGTTACATTTATTCCTAATTATATGGTATTTTCTATGCTATTGTAAATGGTATATCTATCTATATCTTTCAACACATTTTTTTAAAAATTCTGCTACGTCGGTTGCTTTTTGGAGAAACATTTTTGCATTTTGCATGTTTTGTATCCAGAAATCTTGCCAAGCTCTCTTACTAATTTTAGAAAATGTACTTGTAGATTATTTTAGAAAATTGTATGCGATCATAGGAGGTGCAAAACACTGTTTTGTTTCTTCCTTTTCAGTCCTTTCATTCCTTTTGGTTTGTGATTTTCTTCTTTTCCTCTCTGTTACGGAGGGCTGTCTACATTTGACAGATAGGTATAGTGTTTACTCTAGGGTTTTGGCAGACAGCCTTGAGGGATCTTAGTTCGCCAACCAGGTACTGAACCTGACCCCCAGCAGTGAAAGCACCAAGTCCTAACCGATGGACTGGGAATTCCCTTGGAGCTAATCTTTATCAGATTGAAGAAGCTCCTTTCTATTCGCAGTTTGCTGAGTGTTTCTTTTGAGTCATGAGTGGAAGTAGAGTTTTTAACAGATGTTTCTCCTACCTCTGCTCTGATGGTCATTATTTTTCTTTCTCAATCCGTTAGCATGATTGATTTTTGCACTTCTGGAATAAACCCAACTTGGATTGTCCTGTTCATCTTTATCGTTCAGCTGTTTTCTCCTCACCGTTTTTGTGGAGGACTTCAACATCAAGAGTTCATGAGTGAGATTCACTGGCGATATGTCTTTCTGCTCTTTACTTGTCAGACTTTGGTGTCGAGGTTAGGCTGGCCTCACACAACATGGTGGACTGTGTTCCCACTTTATCAGTTCTCTAGAAGAGATTGTGTAAGCTGGGTGTTGTTTTTGTCAAGAGTTTGGAACTGATCCGTGGGGACTCTCCCCTTCCCCCCCACCCCCCTCCCCATTGGTGGAAGCTAAGTGGAGGGTGGAGAAGGACAGCTGGTCTCAGCTCAGTCCAAGGCAGAACCTTCCAACAGGGAGCAGCTCGGGCTGCCTCGGGGAAGTGGGCAGAGTCCATGAACCCAGCTGTCCCGAGCACTGCGGGGAGAGTCCGCCATGGGTGCTGGGTAGGGTTTTCCAGCCAGGCATCCCAAATGGAGGAAGTTGAGCCCAGGGTGAAAATCTGGTGCCCGTCTCCTCCTCCTCCTCAAGTTGCTGCAGTTGCAGACCCAGCATGAAAGAAAGTAAAGGTTGTAAAAGCAAATCAATCACTCAGTCATGTCCGATGCTTTGCGACCCCATGGACTGGAGCCCACCAGGCTCCTCTGTCCATAGGATTCTCCAGACAAGAATACTGGAATGGGTAGCCATGCCCTTCTCCAGGGGATATTCTCGGCTCGGATCAAAACCCAGGTCTCCTGCATTGCAGGCAGATTCTTTACCCCCTGGGCCACCAGGGAAGCCCTGCTTGCGATGAATAGCTACTCTCTGTCTATGGCCTGCAGTACAAGGACCTGACTCACCCGTGCTCACCTCCTCTTTCTGTCGCTGTGGTATCAGTTTGCCTAGAATTCCCAGATTCTGACCTGGGACCACACACTCCTCCAGCCATTTTCCCTGACCCCCAGGGTTTCTAGGTTTGGGCAAGTTCCCCAGTTTCTCTTTTACTGAAGTGCCAGGCCCTGAGCTAACTTGGATCACCTCTGTTAATCCCCAAAACAAGGCCATGAGGAAGCGCTATGACCCGCTCCCCCATTATTCAGACTAGGAAGACAGAGTTTCTAGTTGTGAATAATTTTAATGGTTTCATCTTTCACAGTAAGTTATCACTCTCTGGAGCTTTCCTGGTGGCCCAGACAGTAAAGAATATGCCTGCAATGGGGGAGACCCAGGTTCAGTCTCAGGGTTAGAAAGATCCCCTGGGGGAGGAGGAAATGGCAACCCACTCCAGTGTTCTTGCCTGGGAAATCCCATGGACAGAGGAGCCTGGCAGGCTCCAGTCCATGGGATTGAAAGAATCAGACACGACTGAGCAGAAATGACAGAAAGAGGCAGAGAGACAAAATGTAATTGTATAAATTCAAGTGTGTGAATGATACTTGTAAATTCAGTTTAAGGCAAAGAGCAAAGTTTCCAGGGCTAGATGACCGAGGTTTGAATCTCCGCTCCACCACTTTGCAGAGCGTGTCCCCGGCAGGCCATCTACCCTGTCTTTGCCTTGATTCCTTCGATTAGAAAGTGCGGTTGGCAACTGTATTAACTTACAGGATTGTTATGAGTATTAAATGAGTCATGAGGTTTGAAAGAATTAATATTTTAAAAGCTTTGCAAACAGAGCCTGGCAAGTCATAAATGTGTATGAAATAAACCAAAGAAAAAATAACTATGTCATATGGATTTCCTTTCCCCCAAGAAGCTGGGAGTCATTTTGTCAGGTTTCAGAATAAATCCCACTGGAGATTAAAATTTTGAAACTAGATTAATCTTATCAGGGGTCCCTGGGATCTAGTGCCTGCTGATCTGAGGCAGAGCTGATGTCACAGCAATAGGAATAATGTACACAGTAAACGTCACGCACTTGAGTCATCCCCAGACCATTCCCCATGTTCCCGGTCTGTGGAAAAATCATCTTCCATGACACTGGTTCCTCATGTCCAAAGGTTGGGCACCATTGCCTTAGTTTCTAACCCATCTTGTGTTTTTATGTAGATGTTTTCTCAGATTAGACTGGAGCCTCCTAGAGATGGTGCTGCATGCTACTTTGAAGATCTCTGAGGTTTAAGATTCTTTTGAAAAGTGCTGGACCCTAGAGGCAGGTGGGTTTGGTGGCTGTAGTTGGGGTTTCCGAGTTTTGACCTGGTTCCGTAAATAGTTACCTCTTTGGCCTCAAAGGAAGTACTGTAGCCTCCTTGGCCTCAGTTTCTGCATCTGTCAAAGGGGGGTCCTAATAATAATAGTACCGCCACTCACAGCATTATTGAGAGCCTCCCCACCAGGTCTTGCAGTGACCGGCACCTCCCACCACTGAGGACTCAGCTGTTCACGCCTCAGAGCATCCTTCCCCAACGGCCCTGTTTACACCACCACCCAGTCCAGTCCCTGCCTGTTGAATGTCTTCATTGCGGCCAGCAGATTGCCTGAGTGTAGGAGCATCAGCTGCCTGGTTGACAGCTGTGCCCGCCGTGCCTTCATCCATAGCACCTGGCACCTAGTAAGGAGTGCAGTAAAACCTGGACGAAGGAAGTTGGACGAGTTCACAGCTAGATCCCGAAAGACCAGGCAGGCCAATGGCAGTAAAGACCACCTCGTTGAGAAGGTACCAGCACTTCCTAGTGTCCAGGTACCTGAAAAAGCCTCTTAGGCATCTCAAAAGTAGCGAGAAACACTGAGCCAAGATGAGTTCTTTTCACGGTTATATTAATATCAGGAGCTCAGTGTTTGCCAGTCATTTATTGATTGGTTCTCACAGCACCCAGCACCGGGCTTGAGGAGGGAGGCCCTCAGGAGATCCATTAACAGGTCAGGAACAGAGGGTGGGGTCTTCTCCCGCTGCTTATTCCCTTTGGAGGTGGGAGGGGCCGGTAAATAGCGCTCCTCTGCCCAGCCTGAGGTCTGGAGCAACCCAGGGTTAAGACAAAAAAGCCAGAGAACACAGTGTCGCTGTTTATCACCAATCCACGTGACATCAGGGCATGTGGGCCAGCTAATGCTGATGGGTTTCCCACCTGCCCAGGGGCAGGCCAGCCTGGGTCCCTGCAGACCCAAGGCCCTCCTCCTCATCCCTGGTAGAGAGCCGAGTCGGACGCAGGCTCTCCCTGGCCAGGGCTTTCGGTTCATTACATCACCAAATCCTCCCCACAGCCCTGGGAGAGAAGTGTCAATGTGTCCATTGCAGAGATCAGAAAACTGAGGCTGGAGATGTGGAGCTGGGGAGACCAGGAGGGAAGCTGTTGCAGTCAGCCAGGTGAGAGAGGAGGGTCGCTCAGACCAGCGGCGGGGGCCCTGGAGGGGAGTGGACAGACAGATGTTTGGGGCAGGGGCGGTAGGACCGAGTCATTGCTGCTGGGTAACTTGTGAGGTTTTTGGGTTTTTGTTGTTGTTTTGCACTTTGGGAAGAATAGATGTGATGCTCCTGGCCAAAGACTATTGAGTGAATTAAGAATTCCACAGACAGCGCATCTGCACACACCAGCGGAGCTGAACTGGTGATGATGGCGCACTCTCCATTGAGAGGGCCAGCAGGGGTGTGCACAGAGGGTCAGCTCCGCGGGGCTGGGGTGGGGACAAGAGCAGAGATGCTGAGTCTGTAAGAGGCTTGTCAGCGGCAGGGGCGGGGGGTGGAGGGTGTGATCTCAGGACCCCTTCTCCACCTTCCACCATGCCCTGGCAGGGCACGCTGCGGCTCCGTCATGTCCCCAGAGCCTCCGTCTCCTGAGCTTAGGCCCGGGCGTCCCTCCCCAGGACCCCAGCACAGCTCCCCTGCCGCTAAGCAGCCAGCCCCCTACCTGCTTCCCAGGGAAGAATCTGGTCAAGTCACTCCCCTGCTCAGATGCCGGTTGGTGACATCCGAACTCCGCAGCCAATAAGTAGAATGGAGCCTGGGATGCACTGCTTTGGAAGGATGTCTGCGGTCAGTTCATCACCAAATGAAAAGAGGATGTGCGGAATAATACCGACAGCCCGAGGCGGCAGAAGGCAGTGGTCAGAAGCCTGGGCTCTGGGGCTGCGCTGAGTTTAAACCCTGGCTCTGCCGCTTGGTAGCTGTGTCACCAGGAGCGAGTTCTGAACTTCTCTGTGCCTCAGATTCCTCATCTGGCGATGGGAATGATGACAATACTCACTCCCAATGGGCTGGAAGGTCTGAAAAGGAGTTGATGTGCGTGCAGGGCTAAGCCCAGCACTTGGCTCCTAGCTGCTGTTGTTGAATTGTTAAGTTGTGTCTGACTCGTTTGTGACCCCATGGACTGTGTAGCCTGCCCCGCTCCTCTGTCCATGGGATTGTCCAGGCAAGAATGCTGGGGTGGGTTGCCATTTCCTTCTCCAGGGGATCTTCTCAAACCCAGGGATCGAACCCACATCTTCTACATCGGCAGGTGGGTTCTTTACTGCTGAACCACCAGGGAAGCCCCGTTGGCTCCCAGCAGCACTCCATAAATGTCAGCTCTTGTTACTGTTATATAGGTTCACCTACATTTATAGGCACGTCTCCCCATTTTCACCTCATACGTCAGCACTCAGAATTCTCCTCTTCCAGGAAGCCTTCCCTGAACACACCCCACCACAGCTGGGTTAGGAGCCTTCCCAGGACTCAGGTCTGCCATGCATATCTTACTGCTTATTGCGACTGTCTCCCCACGGCTGTAAGCAGTCTGAAGACACGGGCTATGGCTTCCCCATTATAGCCCTAGTGCCCATCACAGTGTCAGGGGCATAGTGGGCCCTTAGAAATACTTGTTGAATGATCAAATGAATGCGTGTGAGCAGGACTTTGAAACATGTTTTCAAGGGGTACAGATGTGAAGAAAGGACCTTCCTGGCAGAGGTGGGAAGCTACTAGTTCCAGAAAGAGCAGGTGGCCTGGTCAGGCCACAGCAAAGCATGTGATTGGGGAGGGTAACAGAGACCAACTGTGGTGAGCAAGGTGGGCAGGGGGGCATGAGAGCAGTCCTAAGGGTGGGCAGGGCAAGGACGGGACCTATGGGGCCACCATGCCCCTCTCCCATTTCTACCCTGACCCCCCAGACTGGCTTAGGTGCACTCACCATAATGTAAAGTCAGCAGCTCTTTCCCTGTCTCTTTCCATCCCCAGACAGTGAACTCCCCAGGAAATGGAAATATATGGTGTCCCCCCCTCTTTTTTCTAAAACTCTTGCCCACAAAGATAAGCTGTTCTTCATCCACCCCTGTTTCTTCTCTGTCACCCAGGGTTACAGACAGATTGTGTTGTGTGTTCTGATGTCTGGATCCTAGTCAAAGTCACTCCGATTCTTGTGGGAGTTGATGATTTATAGCTTCTGCGCTTAATTGAACTGACTCTTCTTCCTTTTTATGGAGTTCTTGAATCACACCAGAAGCAAGAACAACCTTCCAGTTCATTTCTGGGTCAGATAACGGCGCTGGCCTTTGACCAGTGGCCTGCAGAAGAACAAGTCTTCATTTAACCTCTTGGGACTGAACAGAATTTTTGCCAAACCCAAAGCCAGCAGCCGAGGCGTGGGAAGGAAGAGCTGGGATTGGGGAGTTCGTGAGGACCATGCCCGGCTGTGTGCAGGGTTCACTGCAGTAGGACAGACAGACACAGCCCTGGCTGTGCATGGTGACGAAGACCCTGGCTGGATGAGTAACAAAGCTCATCAGACGGGGAAGCATGGTGCTGCCGGAGGCTCAGAGAGGCACAGTGAATGGCCCAAGGTCACACAGCTCTTCTAGCTGAGCTGGGGTTTGAACTGAGACACTTGGATCCCTCTCGCACGTGCTAGGCGGCCTCTCACAGTGAGATGCTAATTGCCTGAAGTGTTTCTGGAAACGGTTCAGCCTTAGGTAACCCTTCCAGTTCCTCTCTTGGGACCTTATGTTGCGTTTGTCCAGTCTGTCGTGTGAATATAAAAAGTGGGTATTTCTAGATGTTAGACCCTGGCCATACCCTTTCTCCTGAGTTCCAGGCTACATAGCAAAAATAAGTCTCAAAATAAAGCCTGGGGTTTCTGATCTGGAATGCTCACGGATATCCAGAGATGATGTCGGTTTCTTGCTGTTACAAACAGAAAAAGTCACACAGGCAAACAGGGAAGAGGAATCAAGGGAACATTTGAGTCTGCGGATAGGAGGGAAAGCTGGAGTGAGTTACAAGGATGGACACCCCAGGTTCGGGCTGGCGCAGGGCTGGGTTGCCCCATTGGTGCCGGGCTCTGAATCCACCAGCACACCGGGCTGGTTCTAAACTCCTGGGGCTTTCTCTGCATCCTTACTCACGCAGGGAAACCACGCTTTCTTCTGGCAACCGCCTTCTCCTCCCTTTGATCCCAGACAGCAAGCCGTGTGTCTCTCCACGCACTAACACTGCAGCTGGGAGCAGTCTCCACTTCTGTGCTTGTTGGTTTGCAGGGTGGCCCTTGAGCATCTTAAGGCCATCGGCCAACACGAGACGATGGTCTGTTTGCTGCCTCATTTGGTCCTCTCAGCAGCTGTGTGCAGTGAAGACTGTTGTCCCCGTCCTAGAAATGAGGAGCCCAGAGTCACTCAACCAGAAGGGGAAGGACCAGGGCTTCCAAGCCCAGTCTGGCTCCCATGTCCCTCCTCCTCATCACATTTTGTTCAGGGGAAGTTAGAGCTGCAAGGGACTTTGGGAGATGCTGGGGAGAGGTGGTGAAGCCCCTCCTTTGACAGGGAGCAAGGGACCAGGAGAGGGAGAGAGGGAGGGGGGAAGGCTGTAAGAATTGGCTCTGGAACCCTGCCCTGCTGACCTCTGTGGGCACCTCACTGGTTTCAGGCAGACCATGCTCCTTCCAAGGCTCATCGCAGCAGATCCAGACTGTTAGCCAGTGTTCTATTCATAGGCTGCCGATACGCTGCCCTCTCTACACTGCCCCTGGGTGCCTTTCACTCCCTACCCCCGCCCTCTCCCCCTCCCATCCATGCAGGACACCAGGCCCTTCCCCAGACACACCTTGGGCTCCCTCATCACCGCGACTTTGCTGCCAACATACCCTGCTGCCTCCTCTGCCCACTCGAACCCTAAGTCCCCAAGAATTTAATTCTGAATTTTTTTAAATTGTGATAAAATATACCTTGCAAAATAAGTGAGTCTCATGGAATATAAATTGTAATCTTAATAAAGCTTTTTTTAAAGAAAAAAACGTTAAGAAGAGGGTTTGGGGGATGCCTATTTCAAGTTCCCCCTTCCAAGATGCCTCTTCCAGGAAACCTACTAGCAGAGTGCTTGGGACTAGAGATGTGTCCAAGTTAGCCTCAGTTAATGGGGGTTGTTGTCTGGATATAGCAGAATGTAACAGGGCGGAAAGCAGTGTCACTACCATGCTGCCAAGCCCCACAGGGACTGGAGGGTCATGCGGGTCCCCTGGAGCCGTGACCCCTGCTTCCCGCAGGTGACCGAGATCTCCACTCCTTGCGCTCCACTTTAGCTGTTCCTGCTTTGCCACTAACACCTCACTTGACTCCACTCCACCTTTCATTTATTCAGCAAACACTTATTGAGCACCTGTGTGCACCAGGCCCTTCTCCAGGCCCTTGGGGTTTGCCGCAGGAGAAAGCAGACAAAGCTGCCCACCCAGGTGGAGCCTGTTCTTCCTCCTGGCTTCTGCTGGCCCGTGACGTCTGTTGTCTCGTGGTTTCTATGGCTCCTGGCTCCTGCAGCCTCGTGGCTTTTGATTTCTGCCTCTGATTCCTACCAACTGCTGCTGCTTTGTATGTGTCACACTCAGCCTTTCCAGAGGGAATCTTAAATAGTTCAGTTAACCAGTACCCAGTTGTCCAAAAATTTTGCCCCGTGAAGGAGGGTCAAAGGCTCTTCTGGGCGGTGAGGGACAGGGATGAACAAGATAGACGTTCTTGGAACGTCCCTGGCGGTCCAGTGGTTAAGACTCTTGCCTTCCAATGCAGAAGGTGTGAGTTCAGTCCCAAGTCAGGGAACTAAGATCCCCCCCGGGGCCACTGGCTGCAGCCAGGGAAAAAAAAAAAGCTTAAAAAAGAAACAAAATGTACAGTCCTGCCTTCCTAGGACCTATAGTCTAGTGGAGACCCAGGCAAGAGATACATCTGACAAATGCATATGATCTGAGTGTTAAGCAGTCACAAATGAACAGGGTGGGTGAGTGGGAGGGGTCGTTTATATATGGTGGGAGAGATGGCATTTGAATCAGGAGGAATTGAATCATGCTTGTGTCTGAAAGCATGTATCCTGGGCAGAGGGAACAGCAAGGGTCCTGGGCTGGAAGTGATTCAGAATGTTTTTGGAAGAATGTCCAGTGGCTGGAGCAGTGAAGAAGGGTGAGTGTAGGGGATGAGGTCAGACAGGCCAAGAGTCCTTGGGTCCTTGGGTCAAGGGTCCTGATGTACCCTTGTTGGCTAGTGTGACGACCTGGCTTTGCTTGGGAAGACCTTGGGGATCACTGGAGGGTTTGGGGCCTCCGATGACAGGATGAGGTGTGTGATGAGAAGCACCTCCCAGCCCGCTGTGCAGAGGAGATGGAAAGGACGAGGAACAATTCCCCAGCGACTCCAAGGGAGGCTCACTGGCCTTCTAGCCAGGGCTGGGATGGCCAGGCCAGGGTGAAATGTGGACTCGCTGGGAGGAGTCAGCTTCCAGGTCTAGTCTGAAGGTAGAGCTGAGCGTAATGGGGGTGTGTCTCTGAGACATTTCCCCCAGTCACCAGGTCAGTGGAAGTACCACCCGATTTCTGCTCCTGGGGTGCTCGGCATGGGTGTTGGTTGTCGTTCAGTCGCTCAGCCGCGTCCGACTCTTTGTGACCCCATGAACTGCAGCACGCCAGGCCTCCCTGTCCTTCACCATCTCCTGCAGTTTGCCCAAATTCACGCCCATTGTGTCAGTGACGCCATCCAACCTTCTCATCCTCTGTCGTCCCCTTCTCCTCCTGCCTTCAATCTTTCCCAGCATCAGGGTCTTTTCCAGTGAGCTCAGCGTGGGTGCCACGGCTGGCTTTCCTGATCTGTAACAAGAGGAGGCTAAGTGTGTCTCCCTCCCAGGGTCCCTGGCAGCACGCAGGGCCCTCATGGGGCTCTTGGCCTGAAGTGGATGCCAAGCAGATGAGAGCTGTCGTCTTCAAGAGCACTGGGTTGGGGACAGCATGCCAGGGGGAGTGCTGGGCCGATTTCCCCCAGTGCATCCGGGCAGCTGTGTCTCTCCTTGCCCAGGAACCTTGGGATGGGAGTCTCCCCATTTGGAAACAGAGGAGCAGACCCCTTTCTGAACCCCAGCCAAGAGCTCAGGGATTCTCCCAATCCACCTCAGTCCTCCCAGCCCCTTGGAGCAATGGGACTCACCACCCCATTTTGCAGAGTCTGGGAGAGGCGAAGGGATTCACCCAAGGGCCTGTGGGCCCCATGGCAGAGCTCCAGCCCGAGCAACTGAGCCCTGGCCAAGAGGAAAGACGTGAATAAAGGCCTGGACTTAGGATACACGGAAACCTGAGTTCGAATCCTGGCTCTGCCACTGACTGGCTATACGACCCTGGGCATGGCCTTTCCTTGCCCTGTGCCTCAGTCACCTCATCTGTAAAATGGGATAATAATGGGTTCCTTGCCTGACTGGGGTGAGGCGTGAGGGAGGCGATGGATACGAAGCCTTGGACAGGACTCGCGCAGAGTGGGCACTCATCTGCTGAGCGTCTCCTCTCACCCCTAGGCCTGCGTGTCTGCGGCTCCCGCCTGGCATTCGTGCCAGCGTTTTGAAGTAGATGCCTCGTTGCCAGACGCTGCCATGGAAACCAAGGGATGGGGGAACAGGCAAGGTCCAGAGGAGGTGTGGAGGAGGGGACGTCCTTCCCACGGTCACCCTCTGACCCACCGCAGCTGGCTTGTTGTAGCGGGGGTGGGAATTGAGGCCCCCTGTCCCCATGGAGATAAAGGCCACTGGGGTCCCCGCCCCACCAAGGCTTTGTTCCTGTAGGGAGTGTGGGGTACACAGGGCCCTCCCACCTGTGGGGCCACGTGCAGGCACCCCCTGGGCCTCCCGAGGCCTGGGCCAGCTGGAGAGGGATGTGACTCATTTCTACAATCCCTTGTCCCTCTGCCTGTCCCTCTTCAAGAGGCGATGCAGTCATTGTCTTCTTCTCTTTGAAAGAGCCTCCCCACCCCATCGCCATCAGGTCAAAGCCGATGGCACTTCTGGCTGCTTCCGAATATGTGTCAGAGGGAGATGCTCGCTGCCTTGCAGGCAGGGACAATTCTGGTCCCCCATCCCTGTGTCCTTCTACCCTTCCGCCTCCTCCTCTCCAGCGTGTGACCATTGTCAAGCTGGTCCCTCCCCCATTTCAAATGCAAGCCTCTAGCTTTGCAGCGCGGAGAGCTCAGCAGAGAGGCCCCTGCTCTTGATGTCATGCAGGGCTGTGTTGGGACCCCCATGTGCGTGGCCGCTTAGCTGCCGTTGACAAGTCGCTGGTCCCGTGAGTCTCACGTGTCTTATCTGTTCAAGGGGGCTGATAGCTGAACCCGCATCACAGGATTCACCGAGTTAATCCAGGTGAGACATCCGCAGACTGCATTAATGTTATTACCACTCTTTGCAACCTCAGGCTCCTCTGTCCATGGGGACTCTCCAGGCAAGAATACTGGAGTGCGTAGCCATTCCCTTCTCCAGGGGATCTTACCAACCCAGGGATCAAACCTGGGTCTCCTGCATTGCAGGCAGATTCTTTACCATCTGAGCCACCAAGGGAGCCCTGTCATTTCACACTTTTCTTTAAACTTGGGAACAAGGAAGGCAGCTGAAGACACACATGCACATATTTTGTTTATAAAATTAAGTCATTTTTCTTTAAGAGGAAAGAAACCCTTCCCTTAGAGATGTTGCCAGCTTTGAATCAGTTCCATAAACACTTATGGTGCACCTACTGTGTGCAGACTCTGTGCTGGGCACTGGGGAGACAGAAAGAGCAAGGCACGATCCATGCTTGTGAACCTCCAGCCTGGTGGGGAAAGCAGACCCAGACTCAGGCAGTCTCCATTTAATAAGATATGTGTTATGGTGTCCATGTCCCCAGGGTTAGGTGTGTGCAGAAACGTCATTGGGGGTGGAGGGGCGGGGTGCTCATCTCAGCCTGAGGATGTGACAGCAGGGTTTTCAAAGATGAGCCGGTCTTATTTCAGCAGACTAAGGTGAGAAGAGCTTTCAGGAGAAGATACAGCCTGAGCAGAGCAACATAGCATCCCAAATGGTGTGATGTGTGCAGGAAACTGTAAAGAACTAGGCTTGCCAGAACATAAAGTAAAGCTTAAGGGCAGGAGGTGGTGGGAGGTGGACCCTCCTAGAGAAAGAAGCAGGGTCGTCAGGGGTTGCCTCCTTCCCTGTCTTGGTCTAATCTGGAACATGCTATTTTAATCAATTAATTTTTTATTTGGCTGCACGGCACGTGGAATCTTAGTTCCCTGACCAGGAATTGAACCTGCACCCTCTGCTTTGGAAGTTTGGATTCTTAACTACTGTACCACCGGGGAAGTCCCTACTTGTTCTCGTGAGAAAGGGAAGTGTTGTATTAGTTGCTCACTGTGTCCAGCTCTTTTGCAAGCCCGTGGGCTATAGATCCCCAGGCCCCTCTGTCCATGGAATTCTCTCCAGGCAAGGATACTACAGTGAGTTGACATTCCCTTCTCCAGGGAATCTTCCTCATCCAGGGATCGAACTCAGGTCTTCCTCACTGCAGGCAGATTCTTACTGGCTGAAACACCAGGGAAGCCCCCTGGAAAGGGGAAAATGACTGCAGAGTCTCCCCCATTTCCAGAGACCTTGAACATCGGGCGCAGTGGTCTAGACTTCTGCTGCGGGCACTCGGGAGCCACAGGAGAGTTCTTAGGAGTGACGAGTTGGACGCTGCCTGTTGCAAGACTGCTCTGCCAGCAGGGAGGAGGTGGCAGGAAGTGTCTGGACGCATGAGCACACAGGCTGACATAGGCGCCCAAGTGACAAAGACAAGGCCTGGGTCCAGCCAATGGCCTTCTTTGGTCAACTGCATTCGGCCTTAGAGGGTCTGTCCTTTTTCTTGCTAAGTGGGCAATGGTTCAAAGGATTCTGAGTTCATAAGCTAACTAGTCTGCTGGCAACTCAAGAACTGGCTGGAAGGGGATTTGGAACCCTCTGTGGGCCATATGTGACCGGTGACCTCATCTGTTTAGATCTGGATGGCTTTGGAGCTGCCGGCTGGAGTCCCAGCCACTAATGGGAACCTCCGCTTATGCTCCCATTGGCCCCTGGAGTGAACACAGTGACTATTGAGGGACTCGCACCCAGCACCCCGCTGGGGACAGGGAACTAGAGGAGGAGCGGTACCTCAGACGGCCTTAGGTTGTTTTTGGTGAATCTTCTGGGAATAAATAGCAGAGCAGTGATTCCCAAAAGTCACTTTTTGGAACTCTAGCTATAAGGAAGGTCCATGTCTGAAGAAGTTTGGAAATGCAGTACATCACATCTCCTTCTTAGGGATTCAGAATTCTCAGGAAAGGGTGGAGACGTTGGGTCAGACAGAACTTGACTTTTAATCACAGTCATACTTTACTGTGTGATCTTGGGCAGTGAACGTCACTTCTTGGCTTGATTAAGTCTCCCTGTGGGCAAAATGGGGCAGTACTGATGACCTGAAGTTTTATGAGGATTCATGAGACACCTATGAAAGAAAAGTTATGACCAACCTAGACAGCATATTAAAAAGTAGAGACATTACTTTGCTAACAAAGGCCCATATAGTCAAAGCTACGGTTTTTTTTCAGTAGTCATGTATGGATATGAGAGTTGGACCATAAACAAGGCTGAATGCTGAAGGACTGATGCTTTTGAACTGTGGTGCTGGAGAAGACTCTTGAGAGTCTTGGAGACTCCAAGACTCTTGAGAGTCCCTAGGACTACAAGGAGATCCAACCAGTCCATCATAAAGGGAATCAACCCTGAATATTCATGGGAAAGACTGATGCTGAAGCTGAAGCTCCAATACTTTGGCCACCTGATGCAAAGAGCCGACTCACTGGAAAAGACCCTGATGCTGGGAAAGATTGAGGACAAAAGGAGAAGTGGGCAGCAGAGGGTGAGATGGTTGGACATGAATTTGAGCATACTCTGGGAGAGAGTGGAGGAGGCTGATATGCTTGGGTCTATGAGGTCACAAAGAGTTGGACATGACTTAGTGACTGAACAACATCAATGAGTTAACATACAACACATGGTTTGTACTTTAGAAAGCACCAAATAAAAGATAGCTATAAAATTATTATTATACTTTTAATATTATTGAATCATTATAGTTATAAAAATCTATTTTAAATATGTAAATTTTTATCTTATTTTACCTTTAAGGGCCCTGAGAAGTCCTGCGGTAATGTCTGCTTGACTTTGCTCACTTGGTTTTCTGAGAGTATATGATCTTGGAGTCTTCTTTTTCACTTAACATATAGTTCTTTCCTAAGGAATTCGTGCTCTGTGGGACTCTGGGAAATACTGATTTTTGTGTTTTTGGAGTTGTCTGGAGAAGACAGTGTCTCTGAATCAGGATCCAGTCCAAACATGGATCCTTCCAGATGTAAAGAGCTGTTCTCCATCCTCAGTTTCTCCTCTATCTTCTCTCCCCCTGAGATCATCACTCAGGAAGAAAGGCATGGCTCGCCATGCCAGGATTGTAGGGCTTAGAAATAGGGGAAGAGACTTGAGAGTCTAGCCCAGGCCTTGGAAAACTCCTGCTCATTCTTCAGTATCCCATTTCGAAGTTAGCCTTTCTCAGAAGCCTTCCTGCCTTGCCCAGGTAGACTTAGTTAGCCATTCCCACGTGACAAGACCAATGGCCTCTAGCACATAACTCACACTCACCATGGATCACGTCGGAACTGCAGTTATCTGTTATATGACTGTCCCTCCCAGCCGGACCCCGAACTTCTTCGGGGTGCCATTTCAGAGCTCTCACATCGCACTTGATCAAGACCATATTTCATCCATCACCTTGCAGGGAGTCCTAACGACTCCGCCAGTGACTGGAGGACTGAAGAGGTGGTTCTGGGTCTTCTGAGGCTGGGAGGGGCCCTCTCAGCTCTGACAACTGTGCTGGTTCCCTTTGCCTTGGGGTCAAGACGTTCCTGGGGTCCCTAAGAGCAGAGGTCCTGGGGGAGTGGGGGGGGGGCAGGAGATGAACTCTGGGATTCCTGCTGTGGAAGGGTGGAGAGAGCCACAGAGGAACGGCGATGAGAAAGGCAGCTCCCAGCGTCCACTCCGGAGTTCATGCACCGCGACCTGCCGTGTGGGTGGCTTGTTGAGAGCTGGGTGAGGTCCTCTGGATGCTTGCTTAACCTTGGAAGGAGACAGCTCTGCGGGCCAGGGTGGGCCAGTGCAGAGGGGCTGTTCTGGAGGCTTGAGACCAGAGCTGAAAGCTGAGAGGCTGATCCTGCTGGTCCCCACAGCCGGGGAACTCGGCACAGGTCACGCCAGGGCCCCAGCAGTGGGGGGGAGCGCATGCCAGGTGAGCTGGAAGCCAGTGGGGAGACTCGGGGAGCTTCTGGGCAATAGTCTGCTCCCTTGTCACCACCCAGGCAACATTCAGTAGAGGGTGAGGCCTGACTCGGGGGATCTTAGTTATCATGTTAGTTATGGTGGGTAGTCATGTAAGTTATCATAGTTATCATGGATCCAACGGGGGTCTTAGTTATCGTGGTTCATGTGGATCAGTGTCTGGAGATCCAGGATGCTGAGGCAGACTGGATATGTGGGGTGTGGGGGGTGCTAATGCCCGGTCCATCTCAGGATCCCATCTGGGGAGGATTCCTTGAATAGAGAATAATAACAGCACTGACAATGATGATAGCAACTTCTCTTAGCACTCAGCACTTAGTT